ATCCAAACAAAAAAAAAAAAAAAATACAGCTGCATGGCTAAGCAAATCTTATGTATGATACTGTAGCGTTTGTAAAAACGAGAGCTAATGTGGGCATGATCATTTTAGAGTATTGAAAAGCACATTTTGTTTCCTGGTGGTTAAAGTCATAGGGTTGAATTTAGTTGTGTCAGTTTTTTCTTTGACTCCTTAGAACTGAGGGCTGAACACTTTCTGGTCATTTCCCTAGCAGGCCTAACAGAAGCCATGAGATTGGTACTGCCATTCCATTTTACAGATGGGAAATTGGAGGCTCAGAGAGGTGAAGTGCCCCAACTGTAGCCATACAGCTTCAGAGTGGCAGATGGGACTTCAACTCAGATCAGCCACTATCTGGAGCCAGCACCCCTGAGCACAAGACCTGGTGGTTCTCTTCCACTTAGAGATGTATCCTCTCCCTCCCCCACCCCCATGTGAAAGGGGGTGTTCTGAGGATCAGATGGATTCGTGAAGTAAGTAGATATGACACAGTCTCTATGTTGAGAAAGAAAGATTAGATCCAAGAGTGGGGTCCTAACCCTGGGGATGGGGAGCAGCTAGAGCCTCTAGCTTTTAACAGCCTTTGTTTTTTTGCCAAGATCTGCAGAATGATTTTGTATTTATTTGCTTGTATTTATTTATTTACTCTTGGTTCGAGTCTTGCTCTGTTGCCAGAGTTGACCTGGGTTTACTACCCTCCTGACTCAGACATCCTAGTGCTAGTTTTACAGGTGTGTACCATGCTTGCGAGCTAAAGGGCCTTTATTTCTGGATGCTGCATTGTGAGACTGAACCTTCAGCCTTGCCAACTCCTAGGATCAGCTAGCGCCCAGGGTGGGAGGTAGGCCAAGGACGGGTGTGTAAAAGAGGGAGCCACTGCTGGTGGGACAGCTGGCTTGGAGAGAAGGGCCTGTCTCCACGATGTGCAAAAGGGGGGAATGAATTCCTCATCTCCTGCAGGCCTGGCTGAATGACAGGTGGGGAGGGGCTGGACTGAGTTCTCGCTGGTGTCCTAGGCTTGTGAAGGTTGACTGTTCTCTCTGGGAAAGCTGAGCACTCAGCTTGTTTTCTGTGACTCACATTGAGCGATTACTCTGTATTTTTGTTTACTCAGGTTAACTCTTTTCCAAATGGCCACTCCATCTGTGCTGGCATGTAACGTCAACTCCTGGCTGCAGCCAGGGGCTACATGCAGCACAGAAGCTAAGGAACCAGGGCCCCGCCCAAGGACCACTCACTGTTTCATGAAGTGAAGCCGGGCTCTCCTTCGCAGGCCTGGAAGAACAGAGCAAGTACCACAGTCAGCGGGGGCTCTGGATCACGGGCACCACGCCCAGGGATGGACAGGGAGGAGGAAGGCAGCTTCATCCCCACCTCAACCTCATTCCTGTGCCAGGCTCGCTCCCAAACATTCCACACCCATCAACCCCCTTTAGGTTCACTGAAGCTTATGGGTTGGATACTACTACAAGGTCCATCTTAAGATGGGGAAACAGAGGCACGACAAGCAAGTTATTGAGTAATCTACCCAACTAGTATCTTAAGTGGGAAAAGGCAGGATTAAAAGCATTTCCACCATTCTGTGTCCTTAAACTCTTCTCTCTTGTCCTTCATAATAGGTCAGGAATGAGAAATCCCATGGAGGGGCATCTCAAACATAGCGTGGGTACCAGGGATAAGCAAGATCTCCCACTGGGGTGAAGGGAAGAAATGTAAATGTGTCTCAACCTCTATTACTCTTTGTCTTTGAGGTACAATAAATAAACATAGCTAGTTGCAGTTAGTCTTGGCAATTTAAAATTACCAGTAAAGGGCCTGGAAGGTGGCTCAGTGGTAGAGTGCTTGCCTTGCATGCATGAGGCCCTGGGTTTAATTCCTTAGTACCACGTAAGCAGAAAAATCCAGAAGTGGCGCTGGGGCACAAATGGTAGGTCACTAGCCTTGAGATGAAGAGCTCAGAGACAGTGCCCAGGACCAGAGCTCAGGCCCACAACCCACAAAAAAGAAAAAAAATACCAGTAAATAAGAAAAAAAGTCCTTAATCAGAGAAGTTTGTAGATCATGGCACTTTAGTAGGTGCTTAGAGTGGGATACCCAGACCCCGAGGTGGGAGCAAGGATGCAAAGCTATGCATGCACGTGGGTCACCATTGCCTTCACCTGGTCCCAGAGACCTGTGGCTTGCCAAAGTTTAGGGCCACCGACCTGCCCATTTTATAGAAACCCAGGGAAGGGGAAAGTAACTTGCACAAGGAGGCATGGGTGAGCTGAAAAGCTAGAGGCAGTCTGAGCCTCCCCTCCACTGATGACAAAGCCAGTCGGTTAAGAGACCAGGAGAAGAGATGAGCCCAGGTCTGTAGTGGCCAAAGACAGCAGCCATCTGATTTTCCCACAGTCTCTTGGAGGAGGGACTTCCGGGAACTCCACTCACACCACTGGCTATCTCACCTAACTCCTGGGCCCACATTCTGCATCTCACTACTTGGGCAAATTCCCATCTACAGCACAAGCCTCATGCCAGCTTCTCTGGGAAAGACTTTACAGACTGTAGCCCTGGCGGGTAGACAATGTTTTACTCCCAGGCCAGAAGCCAGACAGGCAGCACTGGAACCAAACATAGATCCATCTGACTCCAGAGACTGGTGGGCTCTCCTTCTGGCAGCATAGGATCTGAGATGTGGAGTCTGGAGATGTGGCTCAGTGCTAATATTCATTCTCAGCAAGCATGATATACTGGCACCTCTTGACTTCCTCCAACTCCTTCTCCCCCCACAAAGAATACTTCCAGAACTACCATAGGTTCTCTGGGGCCAAATAGCCACCAGGTTGCTGTCTACTGCGCTAGAGAAGGAACTCCCCCTCCCTCCTGGACCTTCAGACAGGAACTGGGGACCCCAGGATGGCCTGGCAAGGGGCAACTCACAGTAAAGGCGCATGCTCACACCCAGGGACACCAGCAGAACCAGGATACCGGCCACCAGCAGGCTGAGGGTGATGAGGCTACAAGCTGGGCCTGGAAAACACACAGGACACTTGTTCAACACTGAGCATTTGAGGCAGGCAGATACAGAAGGAGGAAAATCACCCAAGACCAGAACCCACTTTTAGGAGAGTGCTACTGGTTACATTTTGGTGTACTTTCTTCCTATTTTTTTTTCATGCCAGTCCTGGGGCTTGAACTCAATGTGGGTGCTGTCCTTGAGGTTTTTGTTTTGTTTTGCTCAAGGTTAATATTCTACCACTTGAACCATAGATCTACTTCCAGCTTTCTTGGTGATTTACTGGAGGTAACAGTGTTGTGGATTTTTCCTGCCCAGGCCGGCTGCAAGCCGTGATCATCAGATCCCAGTCTTCTGAGTAGCTAGGATTACAGGCATAAGCCACTGGTACCTGGCATCCAATCTTTCTTGTAGTCACTTTGAACACATCAAGATCTGTCTATCTATTTATCTATCTGGCTAGCTAGCTAGCTAGATATCATCTTCCAAATTTTTTTAAAATAATTAAACTCAAACTATGTTCAAAGGAAGAAGAAAATTCTCATGCCTAGAAATGAGATTTTATTTAAACTATCTGATGATTTTGTATTTGAATTTCACAACTTGCTGGCTATATTTTTTGAAAGCTTTGGACTAATTATATTTTTATTGTAAAAAAGTTTTATATGAGGTTAAAATGTCCTGAGAGCTAGGTGCCAAGTAGTTCACACCTGTAATCCCAACTACTCAGGAAGCTGAGATCTGAGGATTTCAGTTCAAAGTCAGCCAGTACAAGAAAGTGCATAAGACTCTTACCTACAATTAACCAGTGGAAAGCTGGAAGTAAGGATGAGTCTCAAATGGTACAGTGTTAGCCTTGAGCAGAAAAAGCTAAGAGACAGCCTATAGGCCTGAGTTCAAGTCCTAGTACTGGCATTAAAAGAATAAAACAATGACAACAAAACTCCAGGTAAGGAGCAAACGGCATTGGTAATTTGATAATTTTCTTTTCTGAATATATGTGTTCATAATTTCCATGGATGTATAAGTTACTTTAAAAATTCACACAGTGGACCATCCTGGGCTAGTTTTCATGTTTTACTCTTACAAATCACTCATCCTGGTAATTGTTTCATGTCCTGAAGCTGATATGAAAATGGGAACTACAGATTCATAGACTTTAACTATTTTTATTTTGGGCCAGTCCTGAGGGTTAAACTCAGGGCCTGGGCACTGTCCCTGAACTTTTTTGTTCAAAGTTAGCACTCTACCACTTGAGCCACAGTATCACTTCCGGCCTTTTCTATTTATGTGGTACTGAGGAATCAAACCCAGAGCTTCATGGGGGAGAGGACCACAGTATTTCACTTAATCTTTTGATTTTGTGTGAGCTTGGACTTTTTTTTTTTTTTGTCATGGGGCTTGAACTCTGGGCCTGAGTGCTGTCCCTCAGCTCTTCAGCTCAAGGCAAGCACTCTACCACTTGAGCCACAGCGCCACTTCCAGTTTTCTGGTGGTTTATTGGAGATAAGAGTCTCACAAACTTTTCCTGCCCAGGCCGGCTTTGAACTGTGATCCTCAGATCTCAGCCTCCTGAGTAGCTAGGATCACAGGCGTGAGCCACCTGACTTATATTTATATATATTGAACACTTGGAATTTTATTTAGATGGTGGAGACATTATAAATTAGATTGTGCAGATGGTTGTGTAACTAAGTAACTTTATAAAATTCATTAAGTCTGTGTGTTTAAAATGGGGAAATGTATGGTATGGAGTTGTATCTGAATGAAGTTTTAAAAAGTAACACACATGGGAGGCATCCTGAGGAGTGGACGTGATTGGATTGAAATCAGCAATGTACTACATACCTATGGCTCCTTTATTTCACCTGGCTTTGCTGGCTCCTCCTGCTTCCACATATCTATCTATCTTTCTTTCTTTCTTCTTTCTTTCCTTCCTTTCCTTCTTTCTTTTTTCTTCTTTCTTCTTCCTTTCTCTTTCTTTCTTTCCTTTCTTTCTTTCTTTCTTTCTCTCCCTCTCCCTCCTCCCCTCCCCTTTCCTTTATCTTCCCCACCCTCCTCTCTCCTTTTGAGATGGAGTCTCATGGTGTTGCCCAAGCTAGTGTCAAATTCGTGAATTCAAGTGACCTTCTGGCCTCGGCCTCCTGTGTAGCTGAAGATGTCAGGCAACGTATTTGTGTTTTGTACCATTAACCTTGTAGCCTGCCTAAACTCCTTTAGATGAAGTTGTCCACACATAATATGCTATGAGACAAGGTCATTCTGTCCCCACCTCCATTCTGTAAGACTTTGCCTTTCTGAAGTTCTGATTTTTCATTACATTGAGGCCTCATGTGGCTTCTCCCATCCTTATCTCCAAGGTTCTATTCAGTACCCTCCTTGGGTACTTTCATATTTTAAAACAAAGCAACCCAAGCAGCACAAGGTAGTGCTGTGGATTGGGGAGGACGGTGTCCTTGTGGTTTCTTCTCTGGGTGACAACAGATGGCAATTTCTGTGTGACAGCAGTAAACTTGGTGGGGGGGAGGTTGAAGGTTGAAGTCAGTATTTTTCCAGAAACTTATTTGGGCTGATGGGTTCAAGGAAAGTGTCTCTTCCCTTCCCTGCCCTTCCCTTCCCTTCCCTCCCCTCCCCTCCCCTCCCCTCCTTTCCCTTCCCTTCCCTTCCCTTCCTGCAGAGAGGTGTTTGATACAGAAAGGCGCATTTACTCTGCTCATTAGCAAATATATATTAAGCTCATCTTATGTGTTGCATCCTGTAAAGTATCAAAACTGGAAAGTTTTAAAGTGCTGATTCTTTGAGTTGGGTCTTTTTTTTTTGGAGGGGGGTTCTGGTCGTGGGGCCTGAACTCTGAGCCTGGGCGCTGCCCCTCAGCTCAAGGCTCAAGGCTAGCACTCTACCACTTGAGCCACAGCACCACTTCCCGGCTTTTTTCTTTTTGCTTATGTGATGCTGAGGAATTGAAACCAGGGCCTCATGCATGCAAGGCAAGCACTCTACCACTGAGCCACCTTCCCAGCCCTGAGTTGGGTCATTTTTTTAGTTAGCAGCTTCATTAGGATATAATTTGCACATCATGAAGTCCATCCATTTAAGGTATACAATTTGATATATTTAAAATTTTCTGAGAACTGGGTGCCAGTGGCTCACACTTACAATCCTAGCTACTCAGGAGGCTGAGATCTGAGGAGTGTGGTTTGAAGCCAGCCTGGGCAGGAAAGTTCATGAGACTAAACTCCAAAACCAAACCACACCAAAACACTAAAAATGGAGCTGTGTCTCAAGTGGTAGAGCACTAGCCTTGCGTATAAAAGCTCAGGGACAGCACCCAGGCCCAGTGTTCAAGCCCCAGGACTGGTCTCCCCCCAAAAAAATCTTCAGAGAATTGTGCATCAACCAGCATAATGTAACTTGAGAACATTTTCATCTGCCGGGAAAGAAGCCCCTATATTTTAGGAATTATTTCTCACTCCTCCTCAGAGTGGCACTCATCCATTTTCTGTGTCTATGAAATATCATACTCTGCATATTTTATGTCTGTGGAATTATGAAATATGAAGTCTTTTGTAACTACCCTCTTTCACTGCATAATATTTCCAAAGTTTATCCAAAATTAATCAATTTAGAGACAGGATCTTGTTATGTAACCTAGCTGGCCTTAAACTTGCGGTCCTCACACCTCAGCCTCCTGAATGCTGAGATTATAGGCATGTGCCACCATGACTGTCTTCTTGTTCCATTATAATGGCAGCCTCACAAACTGGTAACCAGTTCTGTAGTTGGTAGACATTTGGGTCTTTTCTACTTTTTGGCAATGAGGAACAAAGTTGCTGTGAAGATGTTTTAGTAGGTCTATCCTCACTGTTTTGCACTGCAAGGATTTGACTGTCCTCTCTAAACTGTGACGGCTATTATACTCAGGATCTCTTCTAACCCCAGTTTGGTGGGGGGGGGGTGAAGAAACAGGCTACAGACCCAACACTTGCCAAAGTGCTTGCAGAAAGATGAAAGGAAAGGAGGAGGGAGAGGGGGAGGGATGAAGAGAGGGAGTAGAGAGGACATCTGTCTCAGAGCTTGGGGGATGGAACTCACCCTTCTGGGTCACTGGGTTGGGGAACCGGCACATTTTCTTCTTGGTAGTCTTCCTGGTGGGTTGGACGGTGGTGGGAAGAACATCAACTGCAGACAGAAAGCAAAGCACACATCTTAGCCAGCTAAAGAGCAGGCAGACTAAGAGACAACCCTATATCTTATATGCAGGTATTAGAGTCCTCACGATGAATCACTGATCTCCATGATGCTACATGGACTTGCAGTCACACAGCAAGAAAGCTTCTCATCTGCTCTCAATATGTCTAGTATCTTGGATGGGGGGTCAGCTTGGTGTCTTGGAGAAAGGGGCTGTTGACCCTCCTTCCCAACCCAGAAGCCAGTGAGGAGGCCCATGTTAAGGAGATGCTGGCTCTGTTTTGCACATGTGGCATCATGATGGCTACTTAGTTTGAGATTAGTTTCCTTTCTCTTAGAAGTCCTTAAAAATAATGTAATATAAACTAGGTGCTAGTGGCTCATGTTTGTAATCCTAGCTACTCAGGAGGCTGAGATCTGAGGATCGTGGTTTGAAGCCAACCCAGGCAGGTGTCTCTTATCTCCAATTAATCACCCAAAAGCTGGAAGTGGGGGTGTGGTGCAAAGCGGTAGAGCACTAGCTTTGCACATAAAAACTCAGGGACAGTGCCTAGCCCCCAAGTTCAAGCTCCAGGACACACACACACACACACACACACACACACACACACACACACACGTCAAACACACACGTCAAACTCATAGATCAACCCAAGGCCTTTGGTCATCAGTACTGAGGAGTTACTGTGAGGTCACCTCATGGCTCCCTGCTGGGGTGTCATGTCCTTACTGCTCATGGCCCCAGAGGTACTTTCATTCACCTCAAGAAGGCAGGGGCTTCTCAACTGGTCCCTGGTGAGTTTGGAAGGGAGTTAGCTCTACAGGGCCCTTAGTTCCTTGGCTGAGCACAGAAACTTAGATAAGATGTGGGAGCTCTTGGGGGTACTAAGAGCTGTTCTGTTTTAATTTCATCTGGCCCACAACAATGTTCCCCTTGATCCGGCCTTACCCTCCAGTTTCAACCTCTCTCTGTGTCTTCCTGCAATGGACAGGCCTTTTGGGCCCATGGTTTGCTTAATGGGCCTGAACTAGGCCCCATCTTTTTCCAGACACTTGCTCTATCACCCCGGCTTCTCCTCTCCAACACAGTCAGACAGATAGATTCTGGTTCTGGGTATCCAGTCTGTGGGTGAACTGGCATGATTATAAAAATGAGCTTTGGGGAGTTGTTGCCACTCTTGGGGTTCTGGGCAGCATATGTGGCTTGGAAATAGGAAAGCCAGGTAGTGGTGGGTGGAGTTGGTACTTTCGGGAAGTTTCTAGAAGTTTCTGCAAATCAGTTATGCTTCTTTACCAACCACCTTCCTCAGACACTGAAATCTCATGAGTGGAAAGATGTGGGGTACATAGAGACAAAAACAATTAACCAAACCCAAACCCAAAGTCCCTCATTCTATATAAGAATCAGTACACTGATCTACCCCTACCTCCAAGGGAGGCTTTCACTTTCTCAGAACCTCATGCTCACCCCACAGGGTAGGCCTGTTTGGTTTGGTTTTAGGCAAGGTCTCACTCTGGGCTCAGGCTGGCCTGGAACTCATGATCCTCCTGTCTCAGCTTCCCAAGTGTTGGGGTTACAGGCCTATATCGCCTAGATGTTTTTTGTCTTTCTAATTATGCTTCTATTCCTAGTTGTCTCTACCTCTTCACTCCAAGATCCCTTGTCCCTCTCAGTGCCCCCTATAGGAGCAGGAGACAGAGACATAGGAGCCCTGACCATAAGTTGAGCTGGGGTAGCAGGGCTCACTAAAGCCATACAAGGGCTGGGAGAATTTGCCATAATCCTCCTCATTCTTGGAGGCTGAATGTGTCTAACATGGCAGCCACTGGCCACATGTGCAGCTTAGATTGCACAATGTGGTCAATCTGTATGCAGAAAGAATGCCAAAATATTTCAGCAATAACTCATACTGGTTACTTACTGAAATGATAACAGTGTGGATAAATTGGGTTAAATTTATGAAAATTTGTTTCTTTTTCATTTAAAAAAATTCAAAAATTTAAAATTAGGGGCTGGGAATGTGGCTTAGTTGTACAGTGCTTGTCTAGCATGCATGAAACCTTAGGTTCAATTCCTTAGTACCACATAAACCAAAAATGCCAGAGGAGGTGCTGTGGCTCAGAGATAAAGTGCTAGCCTTGAGCAAAAGAAGCTCCTGGACAGTGCCCAGGCCCTGTGTTCAAGCCCCAGGGCTGGCAGAAAAAAAAAAGAAAATTTAAAATTATATCTTTAGCTTGAATATATTTTTACTGGATATACTAACTGAACTCACAGAACTGAAGCTTCCCAGGACTAAAGGAGTTAAGAGTTCCCATGAAACAAATGAGAAGATTGAGGTTGCCAGGAAGGGAAGGGCCTGCCTAATTCCATGTGACAAATTAGCAGCAGAGATGGGCCTGAGATCCAGTTTGCTTACTCCCCAAAACTCTAAGGATACGGTTCAACCCACAAAGAAGACTGAAGGCACCTACCCCTCTACTACCCTGGGAATGCTCTCATTGGGTGTGCCCAGATAAAAAGAGCCTCCTTTCCTTGTGTATATAATCAGCATTTCTGAGATCCCCATCTGAGCAGGGACCCAGCTCTGCTGTGACTTGAAGGGCATAAAAAACACAACGTTTTGTCTCCATAAAAGCACAGTGCTGGCCGGGTGCAGGTGGCTCACGCCAGTAATCCTAGTACTCAGAAGGCTGAGATCTCAGGATCATGGTTCAAAGCCAGCCCAGGCAGGAAAGTCTGTGACACTTTCATCTCCAATTAACCACCAGAAAACTGGAAGTAGCACTGTGGCCCAAGCGGTAGTCCTGCTGCAGAGTAGAGCTCACTGAGAGCTGGGCAGCCCCAGGGTCTGGTACACAGTAGGTGTACAATGCTCATTTATATAGTGCTAGCTTGTTCTTACCAACATTCAGTAGAATGCTCTTCCCGAAGGTCAGCTTAGGGGACCCGACGGTCATGCACGAGTAGATGCCACTGTCTGCAGGTGTCACATTCGTGATATTGAGAGTGGACTTGGTCATGTCTTGTAACAAAGTTAGCTTCTCTTTTGTCACCCCTGCGTTGTATATCGTCGTTTTTTTTCCAGAGTCCCAGTAGGCCAGGACATCATAGTAGCTGCCATTGCTGGGGGCCTGGTGTAATCTCAGCCAGTAGAGACGCGCATTGCTCGGGAAGGATTTCATCTGGCAGGGCAGAGAGCCTATTTGGTGGCTCAGAACCTGCACCAGTGCAGGGGCTTCCTGGAAGGCAAGGATGCCTCTCAGAGCTGCAAAGGGGCAGAAGGACAGAAACCTTCAGCACATTTTCCTGGACAAGCTCATGGGGGGAGGGGGTCGTGTGTCTCAGAGTCACACCAAGCCATGGATCAAAGCCCAATCCAGGGAAAATCCTTTCAGTGACAGGGCCTAGGGGTGGAGGTGGGAGGAGGTAGGGGAACTGCTGGATTAGAGCCTCACAGAGATCAGTGGCCAGGCAGATGATTGCTATAGTTTTACAATGGGCACAGGAACACTGTAGCTATTTGGTGATAGTAGACTAAATACCAGGCCCTTGGCATGGATTATTTCAGTCAAATCTCAAACTGGCTTTGGGATATTTTTGTGTGTATATGGATGTGCCGGTACTAGGCTTGAACTGAGGGCCGGGTGCTGTCCCATAAGCTTTTTCACTCAAGGCTGGAACTCTACTGCTTGAGCCACAAATCCTTGTCTAGATTTTTGGTGGTTAATTGGAGATAAGAATCTCAGGGACGGGCTGGGAAGATGGCTCAGTGGTAGAGCGCTTGCCTTGCATGCCTGAGGCCCTGGGTTCGATTCCTCAGCAACACATAAGCAGAAAAAAAAAGCCGGAAGTGGCGCTTTGGCTCAAGTGGTAGAGCGCCAGCCTTGAGCTGAAGAGCTGAGGGACAGCACCCAGGCCCAGAGTTCAAGCCCCACAACCGGAACCAAAAAAAAAAAAAAGAATCTCAGGGACTTTCCTGCCTGGGTTAGCTTTGAGCCATGCTTCTCAGATCTCAGCCTTCTGAGGAGGTAGAATTACAGGAACTAGAATTACATGAGCTACCAATGCCAGACTAGTTTGGGGATTTTTACCCCTATTATGCAGATGAAAAAAATCTAGGCAAGAAGCTACTTAATCGAAGTTCCAATTACAGCTATTAATTTACCCAAAGTTTGAAGCCAAAATTGGTTGTCTTTAGCTTTCCCTGGCTGCCATCTGATGCACAGGCCTTCCCGAAGCTTCTAGCAGCTGAAAATCTAGGCATGATGGGAGAGGAGCCTAGACTCAGGCAGAGCCCTTGGTTGATCTGCTGCCTAAAACAGGACCAGCCACCATTTCTGGGCAGTTGTCTCCAGCAGGTACAATTATAGACATTTTTCCCCAATCCAGGTCCTGACCCAAACAAAAAGACAAGCACCCCAGAAGCAGGGCTGGGAATTCACTTTAGTATCAGAGGGGAAGGCCAAGTAGGCAGAGGTTTGTTCATGAGGAATAAGTGGGACTTACAGACCTGGCTGGAAATCCAGTCTCTGCTCTGCATCAGTGTGAGACATTAGGGGAGTCCCAGAGCAATGGCTTGGTGCTACTGTTCTGTTTGCTGAAGAGCATTGGAAATAAATGGGAGGCCACGTGCCAATGGCTCATGCTTGTAATCCTAGCTACTCAGGTGCCTGGGATATGAGGATCATGGTTGGAAGCCGGCCCATACAGGAAAGTTTGGGGGACTTGTATCTCCAATTATTAGTAAAAAGTCAGAAGTAGAGCTGTGGCTCAAGTGGTGAAGTGCTATTCTTGAGCAAAAAAAGCTATGGGACAGTGCCCAAACCCTGAGTTCAAACATTATTACTGCCAGCAATCACACACACACACACACACACACACACACACACACACACACACAGCACCACACCACACCACACCACACCACACCATGAATGAAATAAAAAGGGAAAGGAGGGAAGGGAGGGAGAGAGGGAAGGAAGGAAAATGATATGGGAGAAATCACACTATACACAGGTAAATATAATCCACCAGTCTCATATCTCACATTATTGTTACTAAAAATAAGTAAAACCTCAAAAAGGAGCAGAAAGGTTCCCTTCATGGCCAAGACTTCACTACAGTTCCAATAAATCCTATCTGACCTTTCATTTTGGCTTGGGACAGAGGGCCACTCTGTGTACCATGGAGAAGCACAAAGATGACACTAATCTGGGTGAGCAGAGGAGGCCTCTGTGTGTGTGTGTGTGTGTGTGTGTGTGTGTGTGTAACACAGAGGAGCCAGCTTCCTGAGTTAGTGGCCCATGTTTCTGTGCTTGCAGCTGATACTTCATGGCCCCATGTGACCCTAGGACACAATGAGATTAATTTAAACTTTATACAGACTGCACCTTCACATCACTTGAAGTTTCGACTTTCTTTTCTTTTCTTTTTTAGGTCTGAGATTGGGACTTAAACTTGGTACCTGATGCTTTTGCTTGTTGGCTGGCGCTCTACCAACCCTGAAGCTTTGACTTTTATTGACAAGGAATTTGCACTTGGTGCCAAGTGGCTTCTGGGCTTTCTCTTTTCTCCCCAAATGCCAGACTGTCTTTTCCAGTGGTGCCTTTGGGGAAATAGTCAATAATGTAGTATTTACAGAGATATGGAAGGCATGGTCATGCATTCTCTCACTTAATTCTCATCTGATCCTATGGGGAAAGAGATTGCTTTACAGGCATTTTACTTATGAGAAACAGAGGCTCAGGAAGGGTAAGAGTGTTATGTAAGTTACACAACCTGTATATAGTGAACCACACTTAAACCCTAGTCATGGGACCCCAAAACTTGAGGGTGAAGCCTCTGAGTTAAAGAAGCCTGTGATACACTCCTAGGACTTAGACACATAATGGGGCTACAAATACAGATGACAGAAGTCCTTCCAGAAAAGCCCAGAAGTGACTCCTTAGTGTAAGGCCTGGGCTATAAGTATCTGTTTCCCCCTTCTGATTAAGACACATCCTGTCCCCCACCAAGATTCCCCCGCCCCCTCTGGGTCAGCTTACTTCTCTGGCCACTGTACCTGGCTGTGACTGAGACCCTGCTGCTTTCTGGACACAAAGGCAGATTTCCAAGACACACGTGGTCTCATTTGATTTCAGTAACCCACTAATTCCATTTTCAAAGGAACCTGATATTTCTAGAACCATGGGCAATAATCTTCCCAGTCTTTATTGGCCTAGACTCATTTCCATGTATGAGGTCTCAGGGTTAGCGTCTGGTCTAGCTGGGAGGATGTCAGTTTTGGGGGGTTAGGGGTCACAGATGAGTGGGCATTTGGTCATCAGTCTCATTGGGAGCCAGTTTCAACCCTAAGGGAATCTGCCAACTCCAAACTTTCAACCTCAGCACAATGTCTTTGAGGAGCCAAAGTACCCACCACCCCTAATGCCAGAGCCAGAAGAGGAAGTGCCCAGCTAGAGCTGTCCCTGGACTGGCAGCACTGGGTGGCTTCTGTCCAATTGTGCCACCATAGCTTCCCGGAAGTAATAAAGATGTGTCTGCAGGACTGTCTGCCTGGGCCATGCATGGGGCAGGAAGGCCAGACGGGGCCCCTGGCACCTTCCTAGGGATACATACATGTGGAGCTCCCAGATAAAGATATCTTTTTTTCCTTCTTCTCCGATGCCCTCCTGCTCACATCCTCCTTCCTTTCCCCTTCCCTCGCTTTCCTCTCTCCCCTTTTCCTGCCACACCTCCAGGCTTTTGGGCAGAGGTCTAAGACATCAGGCTGTCGATGCCTGGGCCGGTGATGAGCTCATGGAAGGTTTTATATTCCTTTCCACTCTCAGAGACTGTGCCAGCCAGCGGCCCCCACCACTGTCCCCACAGCGGGGCTCTGAGCTCTGCCTTCTGCCTTTGAGACAACCATTTCCAAACCAGCTCTGTCCCCTGGTCTAGTTCAGACCATCCCCTGGGGAGTGGGGACAAAGTCCAGGCTTACCTGCCAGGACGAGCCAAAGCCAGGGCTGCATCTTGGGGCCCCTCCAGGACAGTCGGGGCAGAGGGTGGGCGGGGCACCCGGGGCACCCAGTGGGGGTGGGGTGGGTGTTGATGAATAGGGGCGGGGCTGTGGTGTGTGTGGATGGCTAGGTCTCCGCCCACAGCTTCCTGGCAATTCAGAGGTCTGGGCTGCACTGAGCCCACCAGATCCCCATGCAAGGCCTGACAGCGCTGAGTTGTGCCAAGCACCAGCACGTGTGTAAATGCCTCCTGCCCCCCGGGAAGTGTTCAGGACAGGGTCGTGACCCATTGTGACAGCTAGGCCAACTGAGGCCCAGAGATCAACAGGTCCTGCTGGAGGATTGGTGGAAGGAATGTAACTGGATAGCACTGCTTTTCTTTATTGCTTTCTGTGTGTGTGTGTGTGTGTGTGTGTGTGTGTGTGTGTGTGTGTGTGTGTGCGTACAGGGGCTTGAATTCAGGGCCTGGGCACTGTCCCTGTGCTTTATTGCTCAAGGCCAAGTGCTCGCTCTACCAGTTGAGCCTCAACTCCACTTTAGGCTTTTTGATGGCTAAGTAGAGATTAAGACTTTCAATTTCCTGTCTTGGCTGGATCCTCAGATCTGAGCCTCCTGAGTAGTTAAGATTACAGGTGTGAGCCACACAGAATTTGCAGTGTGAACAGGGGATTGATGTGTCACTAGAGACAGTGGAGTGAGAACATCATGATCTCCAACCTCCAAACCCAATGTTCTTTCTCCTCTAGTACTGCTCATTACTGGTGATAGGCTTCACTGTACTGGGGAGAGTTTAAAGGAATTGGAGGTGACGTAGCAAGTAGGGCCATGTCCTGAGTAAAACAGCTCAGCCAAAACCTCCTCCCCGTTGTCATATTGTTATTGTACCCAGGAGCAGTTGTCTTTGGAACTACAGTTTGAACTGAGGGCCTTCCATTTGTTAGGCAAAACACCGTAACACTTCAGCTGTACAAGCAGCCTTTTCTGTTTGAGTTTTTCTGGGAGGGTCTCATGTTTTCACCCAGAGTGGGTTTCAAACATTGATCCTCCAGTCTTTATCTCTTAGAGATGGTGTTACAGATGCGACCCACCCTGATTTGATCATTTATTGAGATAATCTTGATAACTTTTTTGTGTTGTGTGCTAGTATTGGAGCTTGAACTCGGGGCCTTATGCTCTCTGTTTTCTTGCTGAAGTCTTGTGCTTTAGTGCTGAACTATTCCTCCGGTTCAGCATCTTTTGCTGGCTAATGGGAGATATTATCTTTTGGACTTTTCTACCCTGGACGCTTTTCAAACTTTGCTCCTCAGATCTCAGCCTCCGGAGTAGCTGGGATGATAGGTGTGAGCCATAGTCTCCCAGATTTCAATAACTTTTTTTCCCCTGAGTGACCTCCAACCTCCAACTTTCCAATCTCATCCTTCCAGGTAGCTGGGATTACAGGTTTGGACCATCCACACCCAGCCCAACACTACTGATAATATTACAAATAAACCATTTGAAAGCATACAGTCCAGAAGTAAGTAGTGCATTATTCCCTATGGCTCCTTCCCTTCAGTTCCTGGAGACTACTAATCCTTAGTAGTAGTTGGACTCATCAGTTCTAGATACTTCATGTAAAGGAAATCATGTAAAAGATTGCCTTCAGTAAATGACTTCATCTACTAAATACTACATGCTTATGGTTTTTCTACATTGTCATATAAACCAGTTCTTCATTCCTGTTTATTGCTTGACATAGCTAGTTGCATTTACCATAGTTTGTCCATCTATTGATGAACGTTGGGATTGACTGCTAAGGCTGCCCTTTGGCTATTAACATGGGGCTGCTATAAACGTTTACATGCAAGTGTATGTTTAAGTCTGTTTTCAATATTTGCGGGGGGGGGGTAATGTGCCATGCAATAGAGTTTCTGAGTCATATATTAGTTGTTTAACTTTTTGAGGAACTGCTCATCTGTTCTCTCTAGTAGCTATACCACTTTGTGTCATCACCAACCATGTAGGAGAGCTCCTGTATGCCCATATCCTCACCAGCACTTGTCACTTTTTTTTTTTTTTTTTTTGCCAGTCCTGGGGCTTGCATTCAGCCAGTCCTGGGGCTTGCATTCAGGGCCTGGGCACTGTCTCTGAGCTTCTTTTGCTCAAGCCTAACACTAGATCACTTGAGCCACAGCAACACCTCCAGCTTTTTCTGTTTATGTGGTACTGAGGAATGGAACCCAGAGTTTCACGCATGCTAGGTAAGCACTCTACCACTAAGCCACATTCCCAGCCCATTTTTGCTTTTTTATTTATTCTAGGGGGTATATACAAAATGATAGCTCATGGTGGTTTTGATTTGTATTTTCCTAATGACATAGGATACTAAGCAACTTGCTAATGCTGGTTGGCCATTTATATTTCTTCTTTTTCAAAATATTTGTTTCTGCCTACTTTTGGGTAGAAACAATGCTTCAAAATCATTGTGAAGGAAATAACTTTCTCACTAAGTTATTTGCCTGTTGTGTGTGTGTGTGTGTGTGTGTGTGTGTCTGTGTGTATATACTGGGACTTGAATTCAGGGATTGGGTGCTGTCCCTTAGCTTGTTTGGTTAAGGCTGGTACTCTACCATTTGAGTTCTACCTCTACTTCTGGATGTTTCCAGATTCAGTGGAGATAAGAGACTCAGACTTCTCTGCCTAGATGGCTATGAACTTTGATCCTCAGATCTCTCAGCCTCCAGAGGAGTTACTTGCTATTTTGTTATGATTTCCTGCCCAGGTTGGCTTTGAACCATGGTCCTCAGATCTTAGCCTCCTGAGTAGCTAGGATTACAGGTATGAGTCACTGGTGCTGACAGGTTTTTATTTTTTGATTTGTTGACAGAAGTTATTGGTCTAGTAGAACTCTGTGAGGTCTAAATCAGGAGACCAAAACACCCAAAATTTAAGCAAGCAAATTAATATAAAGTGTTGTTAGCTAAGAAAAGATGGCTAGGTGCATAGAAGACTCTAACGCAGGTGTACACAGATTCTTTCTGGAAAGGGTCAGGTAGCAAACATGTGGTACATGTAGGGTTTTGTGGCAAGAGGCCTGGTCGATGATACTATGTAGGCATTACTAGAACACAGAAAACAAATATTCATCCTTTTTATTGATGAAACCCCATGATAAAAATCATTGTAATACAGTTTAATGAATGAGAAGACAAAGATCCATTTTGTTTGGATAACAGTTTTCTCAGTTGAGATTCAAATATGACAACTATTGGTAGCTTAAGAACAATACAAAAGCAGATGGTGACTGGACATGACCTGCAGGTGGCAGTTTGCCTACTTTAGCTGAGCAGTCTCTCACTGTTGACTGGCTTGCTGGCATAGAATAGGGCAACTCTGGGAAGAGGAAGTCTTCTTTTCCTGCTTCCACCTTACATTGATCCTCCTGCACCCTCTACTGGCAGAGACTAGCATCCAGCCAACTAGCAAACAACTACAATAGTCTGCTTCACAAACCAAAAAAAAGCTGCCTGGGTCTAAGAGGCAACAACTTGACAACCAGCACAGGAACATTATAATAGAGAGTGATGCAAATGAGTCTACTCCACTCTGATGATTGCCTTTGGGAACAGTTACAGAAAAGTCTCATGTGATACCAAATTCAAAGTAGAAACACTTTGAAAAGTGAGTCTACTTCTCATCTCTCTTCAACCTAAGCCAACAGTGGGGCAGCAGTGGCTCACCCTTGTACTCCTAACTACTCCAAAAGCTGGGATCTGAGGATCACTCTTTGAAGCCAGCCTAGGCAAAAAAATCTGAGAGGCTCTTATCTCCAATTAACCAGCAAAAAACTAGAAGTGGAGGTATGGCTCTGGTGGTAGAGCCCCAGCCTTGAGTGAAAAGCTCTAAGGCACTTTACCTAGGGCCCCAGTTCAAGCCTATTACCAACACAAAACAAAGATTTTTGAAGCCAAGATTAAAACAGCAGAATTTGGGCTAGGATTGTGGCTTAGAGTGCTTGCCTAGCACACATGAAGCCCTGGGGTTTGATTCTTCAAGTACAACATAAGCAGAAAAAGCCAGAAGTGTTGCTGTGGCTTAAGAGGTAGAGTGCTAGTCTTGGGCAAAAGAAGCTCAGGGACAGTGCCCAGGCCCCAAGTTCCAGCCCCAGGACTGGCAAACAAACAAACAAACAATAACCAAACAACCAAACAAAACCTGCAGAATTTCAGGTCTGCTTATAGTTAAAGCCCAGAGCATTAAGCTTCCAATCTGAATAGAAAAGGAAGAGCCTTAAGTTTCTATCTTCTAAATTCTGGAGAAACAGGCTTCGAGTTCCCAAGGTTTGGATATGGGAGCTTCTGAGCTTGCCAGCTCAGCCTCTAGTCCTTGGGCATTCAAGAGTCCAGGTCTGCCAATTCTGGAAGAGCTTCTAGTCAGGCACCAAGGGCTCATGCCTGTAATCCTAGCTACTCAGGAGACTGAGAGCTGAGGACCCTGGTTTAAAGCCAGCCTGGGCAGGAACGTCCATGAGACTCTTAGCATCAATTAACCAACAGAAAAACAGAAATAGAGCTGTGGCTTAAGTGGTAGAGCACTACTCTTGAGTGACGAATCTAAGGGAGAATGCCCAAATCCTGAGTTCAAGCCCCAGGACTGGAATTTAAAAAAAAATCTATCCAGATACAGTGAAAGGACTTCAAGCAGCTGATTGGTAAGAAAAGTGGGTCGTTAATTAATTGCTTCAAAGTCATTTCACTCATCCATTTGGGATCCCAAGTTGTCTGAGCATCAATAACAACTGCCCAAGATGGCCTCATCCCACAAGTCCCTCTCCTCCGGACTTTCTTTGCTAAGTCCCTTTTTCTTCCTGTGGGGTTGGCTTTCCACTTTGGGAGCATCTGCTCCATACAGGTGGTTCTTCATTCTGCCTGAGGAATTCTGTATTCTCTCTGACTCTGTCTTGGTTCTCTTCCTGTCCAGGCCCTGGTGTTCTTTGAGGGAACCTAGCTCTGCACGGTACTTCCTCTTGCCCTTCACTGGATCCTCTGTGGCAGCATCTCTTTCCTCCTCCCACTGCCTCCTTTGGCATCTGTCTTGATGGCCTGCTGGGTGGACCATACTGCTGTCCTCCCAGGAGAGGCTATGACTTGGAAGCCAAGGACTTTTGGAAAAATAGTGGTTATTGTTCTGACAGTTGCTGGGGGATTCCAGCCTTTGTCTGGAGTGATGGATTTTAGACCAGAGAGGTACTTGCCTTTCCTCTGCGCTCAGCCTCTCATAGGAAGTGGGGAAGCTGGGGAAGTTTCTGCTAAGGGAGAGTTGTTGCTCTAGCACTGGAGATCGGAAACTGACGTACCCTTCTTGGGGTATAGAGACTCCAGTTTCTTTTCTAAAGCAAATCTTTGGCTGTAATCCTCTGGCTCTCTGCTGTCTAATATAATCTTCAAGTTCACGTTGGAAAGAATCCTCAGTCTGAGAATCTTCCATTATATTGAGGGTGAATAACTTTCTGCAAGGGAAAACAGAAAGCAACTTTGTGTTTGATGTATTATTTTCCATTGACTATTCTCTTTGTTTTTTTTTTTTAAATCAGGCTCAAATTTCTAGGGGAGATTATTATGTCATGTACATTACATAACATATAGCCTTTAATGTTGAACATGAAATATAAATGACTAAAATGCTGTATATTTAAAGATCTGTAAATAGATAATAAATGTAACATATATCAATATAAAATAAAATGAAAGCTGGACCCTGATGGCTCACACCTGTAATCCTACCTACTCAGGAGGAGGCTGAGATCTGAGGATTGTGGTTCAAAGCCAGCCTGGTCAAGAAAGGCCATGAGACTCTCATCTCCAATTAACCACTTGAAAACCAGCAGTGAAAATGTGACTTAAAGTGGTAAAGTGCTAGTCTTCAGTGCAAAAGCTCAGGGATAGTGCCCAGGCCCTGAGTTCAAGCCTATGACCAGTATCAGTGGGTACCTTTGGTTTAAAAGCTGTAGACAATTTTGGACATTTTTGTTGTAAATTTTTGTAAATACTATTACTTTGTATAAAAACAAGATTAAATCATCCTAAGAAAACAAAAAGAGAATATCAATATTATAGTGATTATTTAATTACCTATTGATCTATCCCTTCAGTAAATGAATGGATCAAGAAAATGTGGTATATATACACAATGGAATTCTATGCCTCCATCAGAAAGAATGACATTGCCCCATTTGTTAGGAAATGGAAAA